TATCTTTACATTCAATCATTTTTTAAAAATTTTTATTCATAGAAAACATTGTTCTTTGAACTTCTATCTAAATAACTTAAAGCTTGTTAATTTGGGAAATAATATATCCTTTCACTTATATCAATTTACATGTAAGAATTAATTATAAAAATATTATTTTTATAATGTCATATTTCTTGTAGTTTCTGTTTAATAGGTTATGTAATAGGATATTGAAAATAATTTTTCTGTAGTCCACCGCATAATGAATAAAAGGGATCAGTTATTTCTCATTTCAAAGACAATCAAAAAAGACCAATGCTCAGCCAAACCAGAATTGCTATCTTAACTATTACTCCAGACTCCATGAATACTGTCTTCCTGTTTATCAGAGGGCACTGCCACAGGGAAGGGGGATTTGAAGAAGTCGTTTTAATGAAGAGACAACATCTAACAGGTAGGGCCATGGCTTGTTAATCTCTGTTCAAGCATGCTTGCTTCCTCATTGCCAAGGTAAAGGGAGTGAAGTTCCAAGATAATTACTCAAGGATTGAAGATGCTTACACCTTATTTCATAGCTGGATTTCTACTTTGGAGTAAACTGTGGACTTGTTTTTGTTATATATTTCAGCAGTATTGGGGAGAAGTAGCAAGGTGGGAAGGAAGAACATCACCATATCCAGAGGACCAACACCAGAAGAAAAACTTTACTATCAATAGGCAGTGGAACTTTAAGGAGCTTAGAAGTGCACAACTGGTGATTTCCATTGTCAGGATCTTGGGCCATTAGAAGGTTCCCCTGCAAGTCCCCACTGAAAGCACCAGACATTTGCCCCTGAGGAGATGCTTAGCATTTAGGCACCTGTTAATGCAAGATATCAATAGCCTATTAGGCATAGGCACATGAATTGCAGTGCTGGGAGAATTTAAGCAGGAACTAGTTGGGCAAGAACTATTTTCATACCCAGAAAGAAAAGAAGAAGACAAGCTAGACAAAAGTCTCATTTGTTCCTAAGTTCTAGAAATGGCCAATGCTGATAGTATGAGGAAGAAGAATGAATTGATTATACTCAAAATCTGCCCAAGGCTGCTAATGTACAGAAAAAGGAAGCTTGCAAAGAGTGTTTGAAGTCAGTAATTAAAGGAAAAATAGAGCCATTTTATATTTGTAACCTATCAGCTATGACTGTTCAAATATCAGGTTATCCTTATACTAAGGATAGCTTTCAAAATTGAGGTGTATGTTTTCTATATTTAAAGTCTCTCCCATCATCAAATAATGTGTTACAAAGTACAGGTAAAATACAAAAAAGTAACAAGCCATTGAAAACTCTCTGAGCCCGTAAAAAGACTAATAAAGTTCACCAAACTTTTTCATTTCTTAGACAGTATGTTTTTTTCCTTAATAATATTCATAGATCTTTATTTAATTATATTTGGTGCTGAAAATTTAACCCAGTGCCTCATACATGCTAGGCAAGTGCTCTACCACTGAGCCACAACTCCAGCCCTATAACTATGTTTTAATATTGGAGTGAGGAGGGACTAAGGAGAGGATCTCTCATATCTAGTTATTATATATTTGAACTTCAGTTACACTAAATCTTAAGATAGCTTTGCTTGTCTCTGATGAATGCTCATCTTTTACACAGAATGAACATTAAATATAATCACCTTTTACATATAAATTCCTTGAATCTTTTTTTTCCTTTTTGTACCAAGGATTGAGCCCAGGGGAACTCAGCCACATCCCCAGCACCTTTATTTTTTTATTTGTAAAATTTTAAGACAGGTTCTTGCTAAGTTGCTTAGGCCCTCACTAAGTTGCTCAGATTGGTTTGAACTTGCAATCTTCCTGCATTAGCCTCCCCAAACTCTGGAATTACAGGTGTGCACCACCATAGCCAGCAGTTCTTTGAGACTTAATATGCAATTATTGGTTTGTTTTTAATATCAGTATAATTATGCAGGGCAAATGAATTTTTTTACAGATTATATAAATGCATAAGTTATTATTGGGGCTGGAGATAAAATTCATAATCAATTGTTAATTCCAATTTTCCATCTTACATTCTAGTACCTACTTATATCTGGCTGCTACAGTATGACTATATATTTGTAAATTTTTACCCCACCCAAATCACTCCATAGCAATAGTAGCCACACTTCATGTTGCACATAGTTCTGTCACTTGATGTCATCACAGAATAAATGCCTCTGTGTGTTGCTTATTCCCAGTTCAGATCTGCTTATGCCTGTGGTATTGTCCAGCCAGTGCTTCTATACTGCCTATATTCAGGACTAGGTCTGGGAGACCCTTTCTGCACTCAGTCCTACCACCTTACATTGAAACATGGTTATAGAGATGAAATGACCAACAACTTGGTGCACTGAGTCTTTTCAAGAACTCATTATCATTTTCCTTGCCTCTTTTCCATTTTATGTTTTAATTATACCTTGAGTTTTATATGCATGTGACTACCTCCTATTACAGAATATATTCTTTCATGATATTAAGGTTCTATCAGGTTCATCTTTTTATTTCACTGTAAAGTTGAAGAAGTAGTGTGGTTCCATGTAAGAATTGAAGAAGAAAAAGGAATCAGTTCTTTTCTATCTCCCTCTGCCAAATCTTTGAAAGTTTTAAATTTATTGACCCTGCTGCTGTCCCTGAAAGTCATAGTAGTTAACCTTAATCTTAAAGGTATGTTCATGTGCATGTGTGTGTTTGTGTGTAGGCAAAGTACATATATACTAGCTTATATTGTGATAAATATTGGTTTAAACTAAAACACTTGGAATCATACATTTAATAATGATGAGCATGTCTTGTTCTGAAGAAGCCTATTTTCATTCCTTATTTATTCATGCTAATAGAGGAGAAGGATGTTATAAATAATTCAGAAATCACTTACAGATGACTTGGTTATATATTGTATATTTTTCATCAGATTTAGTTTCTTAATTGTTTGCTCTATTTATTACCTAAATGAGCTAACATCATGAGTATTTAACAAATGATGCTTGGTGGAGAAAGCTAAGAGCAAAAATTCTAGGTAGTGAGAAATCCATTCTAGTATTAGAGAATTGCTATAGAAAATTCATCTATCAACTATTGATATTTAACCAAAAAGAGAGGACCAATATCCTGTGATACAAAAGAGATATGAAGCTGGGGGCAGTGGTGCATGCCTGTAATCCCAGAGGCTCAGGAGTTTGAGACAGGAGAAACATGAGTTCAAAGCCAGCCTCAGCAACGGCGAGTCACAGTCTCTGTCTCTAAATAAGGCTGGGGGGATGTGGCTCAGTGGCCAAGTACTCCTGAGTTCAATCCCTGGTACCAAAATAATAATAATAATAATAATAATAATAATAATAATAATAATAATAATTAAATCAGAAATTTAGCTTGATGTTTACATCTTAAATTTACATCTCAAGTTTCACAGGTTTTATGGATTAAATATGTAATTGAAAAAGTTTGCACATGCTTTGATAAAGGCAGTGTAAAGTGAAGATATTTAAGATGTTTTACCATAATACTCTTGACATTAGACATTTGGAAAATTCATATATGTACAGTTTTGCATGTTTGACTGCTGTAAGTGTCAAAAAGTGACAGAGGACCAAGGTGTATAAATTGGTGAATATTAAAGTGAATCTTTATATAACTGTGTAGGAGTGTAGGAGCAGGCTGGAGAAATTTCTTTTATGTGAGTCATTTCTGTATAAAGCTATAAACCTTTTTTTAAACCAAAAGCTGTCATGGTTTCTTGTAAAATAATAAAGATAATAAAGATATCCATTTTAATTGATTCTTTTCATTGTTTAATAAAATTGCTTTGTTTGATTGCTGAAGAATTTGAATTGAGTTTTCATTACCCACTTCTGAACAATTTACTCTAAGATCCAGACAGTATTGAGCTAATGAGTTTGAATTTATATTGAACCTTAACTGTCTTCATGAAGTACATGGAAGAAAATCATGGCAGTAACTAAATATTCTTCATTAAAAACTATGTCATAGAGATTTTACAATGAGTCTTTCAGTAGAGCTAAAGCATTAAATTGGAGTTTTACCAATTTTGCTGTTTCCTTACATATTATGTGAAAATATGGTTTCTTCATTTTTTTAAGAAATAAAAGTCTCATAAGCTGACAGGGATATTACTAAAATATTTTAAGTGGCAAGATTATGTATTTAACAGATTCTATCAACGAATAAATTATTAATTTAATCTGAGGACACGTATGAATTGAAATGGTTTACAAGCACCTTCCAAGAAATATTCCATTAAAGTGATTCAACATTTTAATTTTACTTTATGTATGTACATATGTATGTATTTATTTATTTTGCAGTATTAAGAATTACACCCAGGGACTCCTTGCATGCTAGGCAAGTGCACTACCACTGAGCTATATCCTTAGCCCTCATGATGTTTTTATAGCTAAAACATTGCAGCCCATCTTGAAATGGTAACCTGAAAATGCACGATGACATTGTCACAATAATAAATTTGTTTCTCTGTATTTGAAAATAAATGATGTGTTTATTCACACATAACAAATATTTTGCTTTGACATGTTTGTCTTTCATGAAGCCACCTTTTGTGTTCTATATATAATGTCTAAGTTAGGTACCTAATGATTCTATTTTTAGCTTCATGGTGGAATTAAGTTAAGCATTTTAAATCTAAATGGTGACTAGGATACTATTTACTACAAAAATAACTTTGCATTACATAACCATCAGGATACTTCAGTTCCAAGCAGTAACTATCTAGTTCTATAAGAGTCCCTTTAACATTAAATTTGATAGTCAAACAGGATTAAATTCCACATATAAGTTAAATGTTACAGAAGCATTGTTTTTCAAAAACTTGAGATCCTTATGTAAGAAATAAGAAAAGGAATAATAAAGTGCAGTGATATGCATTTTTTAAAACCTCATTTCAAAGTAGTTATTGGAATATTGGGAATAATATCATATCCAAATAATTTATATTCATTCCCCACAGGCAGCAGTGATGGTTCTTGGGATAAGGAAACACTGTACTCCTCCCCATCCCAGGGATCTCAGGCTTCTGTTACCCATCCCCGCATGCCTGGAGTGTATAGCCTTCCACTTAGTCATCCTCTCAACCATCTTCAGCACAGCCACCTTCTGCCAAATGGTACGATGGCATTTTTTAGCAATAAAAATGACAGTTTTAAAAATGTTTAATTATTAGATAGTAAAACAGGACTTTATAAATGGATATACTATATTTAGACAACTGATGATAATAAGTTAAAGAAAACTCTAGTTCTTTAAAGATTTTAGACGGATCAGAGGAATAATGTAGCAAAGAACTGACCATCTGTATAAAACACATGAAAATGGTAGTATGATAAACCATGGCACCAAATTAGTTAGTTGAAACCCAATTTTCCTGAATGGTGAGTGGATATTGTTGCATACAAAGAGGGAAATATTTTTTCTTTGACTGCTTTTATTATAATATATTTCATTTTTTAGTGATTCATGTCCATAATGATTTTAATAAGTGTGATATGCCACATTCCATAGTTTTACTTGGAATAGCGCAATGATGATATATGTGTGTTTTTTATAGGACTGGAACTTCCTTTTATGATGATGCCCCATCCTCTAATTCCTGTAAGCCTACCTCCAGCATCTGTCACCATGGCAATGAGCCAGATGAACCACCTCAGCACCATTGCAAACATGGCAGCGGCAGCACAAGTTCAGAGTCCTCCATCCAGAGTTGAGACATCTGTTATTAAGGTAATGGTTTTCTTGTTATATAATGTTGATAATAAGTCATTATGTCTTAATCTATTTTCTTATTCCATAAGTAAACATTACCTCTAAAATCTAAGTGATAGTAAATAGATTATGAGAAAAATCATTCATAATTAAGTAGCCCATGGTTACAGTGTTTAGAGAGGCTTCAGTTAAGTTCTCTTAAGACAGACAACTTAGAACATTAAAACACAGAGTTCAAGTGTATGTTTTTACTTGTAGGTGTGTATGTATGATGCATACAAGTATGTGATTTGTGCATGTAGTGTTATCAGTCTTTAAGTATGGATAATCAGACAACTCAAAGGATTAAAATCTTCTATTTATTGACCTTGGGCCCGTAACTCAGTCTTTGTGATTTATTCAACATCTAAAAAATGGATAATATAATGTGGATGCATAAACTAAATGAAGTAATAAAGTTGAGTTATTATAAATTTAAAAACATACTATGAGTGGAAATTAACATTATGGTTATGTAAACTTAATATTTGTGTGTATACATATACACAAACATATTTGCATATGTGTGTGTATATATATATGTACACACACATACACACACATATATAAATTTACTTGCTTTATCTTTTTCTCTGTTATATATGTATATAATTTAAGTACGTGTATATCTTATATAGGTATTGGGTATACATATATACATATCATTTTTTGTCCATTTCATTTTATAATGGGCATTTGTACTCGCTTATACAAAATATTTTAATGGTCATTGTCAGATTTAGTGAAAAATAAGAAACAATACAAAAGAACATTAAGAATAGATTGTGGGGCTACAGTTGTAGCTCAGTGGTAGAGTGCTTGCCTAGCATGAGTGAGGCACAGGGTTCAATTCTTAGCACCACATCAAAGTAAATAAATAAAATAAATGTATAAAAATACAATAACATTATTTTAAAAAGAGTAGATTGTGTTTGTAATCCCAGCTACTCAGGAGGTTAAGGAAAATTATCGCATGGTCAAGGCTAACCTGGGCAACTTAGTGGGATCCTGTCTCAAAATTAAATAAATGAATAAATAAATAAGGGCCAGGAGTGTATTTCAGTAGCAGAGTGCTTGCCTAGAATGCAGGAAGCTCTGTGTGGAATTCCAAGCAATTACAAAAAAAAATCATCAATCATCAATTTTTAATCTAAGTAAAAAATACTTCTTGCTGCATGATCCTCATTTGACATAATAATTGCATGTTTTTTTCTGAATAAAATACACTTGAATTCAGGTTAGTCTTAAGAAAGGCCTTTTTACCACTTGAACAGAATATTGATTAATATGCAAACAGGAACTTTTATTATAAAAATGGCTCTGTAAACATAGATGTGTAATAGATCCTTATATCAGTTTTTAAATATAATTACTAGAGGAAAATCACAAAATGCATTATAGAAGACCAAAATCAACTACTAAAAAATCTCTATCTGAGAACATGGCAGTGAAGACCAGCCATATCATTATTGGCCAAGGAATTGGCAAGAAAATTTCTTAAAACTCTTTTTTCTTTGGAATAACTTACAGGGTTCCTCTGTTACTAGGTGACTGGTTAATCAAGGTTATCACTGGATTATCTAATTCATTATAATTTTTGGTAATTGTTTTTACTGAGAATTTAAGATTCTAATTGGTTCATTCATTGTAGTTACTTAGAAGTTTTACATGAGGGAAAAATCTTCTAAGTGTTGTTTTTATTGTGTTTGTTGGCTATTTTAACAAAATCTTAGTGCTTGTTAGGTATTAATTATAACATGTGATTATGCACATTTAAAAAAATACTAATGAATATTTTAATTATCTTGTAATCATATATTTTTATACTTTTAAGTTCAAGCTTATTTGTAGTCTTCCATTTAGCTAAGCTTTACATTAATATATAAAGCAAAAAAAAGGACAGAAAAGCAGATTTTAGTAGTTTAAAAAAATCATAATAGGTATAATATGTATCTTACTTATGACCTGTACATAATTTGGCCATGAGGTGATGGCTTATATGTTCCTTAATCCAAAAGCCACCAGGTACATGAGTAGACTTGTTTTATTTTATTTTTTAATATAAACACATTTTAAAAATATTCATGCTACATCTAATATTAATTAGAATATTTACATTTATTGAGGAGCAGATTTTTATAAATCCTTGGTTGTCTAAGTTTAGGTAGGAGGAATTAAATTTTCCTGTGGAAGAGTTTTACAAAGAAATACAGGACTAGATTATTGGAAGTCAGCAACATTTTTGTATTTTCAATATTAAAGTTTAGAAATAGAGAGAAAGTAGATGCAGAAAAGGAAGGAAATATGCAAAAAAAGAATGGGAAATGAGGGAGTTTTTATCTTAAAATATGTGCCAAAACCTATAAAATAATAGTGATATCCCACATCCTATTTTCTTGGGACAAATATTTGCAGAAATTTGGCTATAGAACTTGGTTCTGTAAGATGTTCTGAATTAGAGAAGATAGGATAATGAAACAACCTCTTTTAATTTGTATGTGAGCAGACTTCATAGTTTAAGAAGTGTTTTAATAAACACGCATGACATACATTGATTAAATTTAGTTTGGAGAAAGTTGTTATTTTTTCCCAAGGAAAACAGTTGATCCCTATGTCACAGTGAACAATTATTTGGTCCATGCTGATAATAGAATAGTGTCTGCAATTTGTTGGTCTGAGAATATTCTAGATTGGAAAGTTGATTGAAAGTGCAATGTTAAATAATAAAGATTTTCTCCCATAACAGAAGAAATAGCTTCTGAAGAGAAAATAGAAATGTGAATGATATTCTATGTGGTAGATGTCCTTTTGGCAAAATCCACTTTTCTTCCACCATTTGTATGGCCCATTAATTACAAATGATTTTACACTTTTAAGTGATTAAAAATGAAAACAATAATTCATGATATATGAAAATCTTACGTATTTCAAATTTTAGTGCCCATAGATTTTTTAAAACATAGCTACACTTTTTAATTTACATAACATCTATGACTACTTTTACATACAAAAATAGAATCTGGTGAAGTATTAGTAAACTATCTGGACCTTTACAGAATAGTTTGTTGATCACTGCATTAGACCTCTAAGAAATTTAAATTCATGTGAATCTTAGACTGTGGGTAAGTGAGGCAGCTCAGACTAAATTTTCATACAATATAAAGCCATGTGTAAGACAAATTAAAAGCATTTGAGTTTTTAATTTTGAAAAATTTAAATGCAGTGAAGAAAAGTAAACTAGATAGAGGAAGACCATACACTTTGACATTGCTATTTGCTCTAAATGCAAGCTTCCATGAGACAGTCTGTCAATATTGGACTTAGCTTTCTCTGACTGATTTTTTTTCAGACTACTAGAAATATTTTAGCAAGATAATTTTAAGGAAGAAATGGACTATTCTCTTTAGGTAATAATAATTTTAATTTAAATCATTGATAATTAAATATCTATAGAGATATGTGAAATGATTATAAACTCTGTGTTAGTGTGCTATATGTTGGCAAGGCAGACTTATTTTTTACTGTTTAACACTAATAGAGTATGAAGAGACAGTCATGAGATATTTATTACCTGTCATATAATACAGCTCCCTTGTAGTAGAGAAATAATTCCTAAATCTTCTCCATCCATTTTTATTTTGTAGGACTCCAGTTCAATTTTCAGCAAATTCAAGAGAGAGAGAAATATATCCATTAATCACATCAAAAATTACTTCTCAATAGTTGCTACCTTTACTTTATTTCCCTCCTGTACTGGGGATTGAACCCAGGACCTTACACATGCTAGGCAAGCATTTCAACACTGAGCTACATACCCAGCATCTCACCCTGTTTCTTTAGTGCATTTTAATTATGCAGAATAATGTGTTTTATTGTGGTGTATTTATGCATGCACATAATATACTTTGATCATATCTACTCCCCCCTACCCTTTGCCTGTCCCTCCCCTCCCCCAACACACCTTCACTAATAGTCTGCTACTTTCTACTCTCATATTGTCTTTTTTTCCTTAGGTATGAGGGAAAACATGCTAAAACTTTTGTTATTTCAGTAACATTATCATCTCTAGTTTTTTTCCCATTGTCCTGAAAATGACATGATTTCATTTGTCTTTAGGACGTTAATAAACCTCCACTGTGAATCTATACCACATGTTCTTTATCCATTCATTCTTCAACAGGCACCTAGACTAATTTTATAACTTGGCTGATGTGAATTGTGCTATGATAGACATGGATATGTAGTTATCTCTAAAGTATGCTGTCTTTAATTAGGGTATATACCAAGGAGTAGTATAGAGCAGTCTTCCTTTATTTTAAGACAAGATCTCATTAAATTGCCCAGGCTGCCTTGAACTTGCAAACCTCCTGCCCCAGAACCTCAAATAGCTTGGATTATAGGTGTGTGCTACTGTGCCTGACCCTACTTTTACATTTTAAAAGAAAGATGTCTACTAATTCTTCTTCGTTACAGCCATCTGAAGATTTAAGTCCTCTATTACACTTAAGTAGTGTGTTTATTTGCAAACCAATATTCCAGTGTCTGCTGATCATTCCTTGCCAAGTTTCTTGGTCGAATTCTTTTTTCCCCCTTTGTAAAAGAGTCCTTTAGACCCATACAATACTCTAGAAATCAATTGACCAATGAAGAGACACTAGAACTAATATAAACCTCAATTTAGACAATATCTATAAAATGTAGTCATAATTCCTAAAATTTTTTTTTGGTATTAGAATACGTAATTTGGCCTTTATGACATAAATTTCTATTAAGCCAGGTTTTTTTTCTTCTTTTGCTTATGTTAGGAATTTGTGTTTATGCACATTTTTTTTTATTTCCAGTCACTTGATTGAGTGGTTATAGATGTTTTTAAGTGTTAACATCCCAAACTATAATGTTAATGATATATGCCATCTTTGTTTCATTTCCAAATTTTAAAAGAATGTTTTCCTTTATTACCTTAAATCACTGAGTAAAATAAGCAGTATATATCAAGCGATCAATTCCTTCTGTCATTAGAGAATTTGTTAATGGGTTTAAATGTTCTACTAATTGATTCTCTTTGGGTACCATTCATCAAGTAACCCCCAAACCTCTTGAATAAATCAATATTTTTCTCACTTTTCATTTTTACATCCACAATGATATCATGAGAACTTTGGGGGAAAAAGTTCCTGCCAAAATAGAAATAAAGTTGAAAAGAATAAAGACAGTATATTTAGTGATTTAAAATGTGAATTCTGGAAAAACACCTCATGGTTTCATATTATACCTTTACCACTACCTTATCCTGTGATCATGGACAAGTGATTGGATGTCTGTGATTTTTTTTTTCCTTTTCTGTAATACTATCTCACTAGGTTATTAGAATTGATTAAATCATCATTTATAAAACCTTTCAAAATCTCTATACACCACCATTACCTTTTGCTTAGCACTAGTTTTGCTTTCCCTCCAAGTGTTTACCAAGTGTTTACAGTCACCTATTCTAGGATTTTGACAGGGATTCCTGTCAAGCTTATGATATACAGCCAGAAGACTATAATGAGAACCCTTTCTTGCTCTTACCTTGCCTGTTCAACCCTCACCGAAATGTGTACTTTGCTTTTTTTAAATCAAGGACTTTTGGGATTGTAGTACATACTATACAAAATGCATTTTTAAGATTTCTCTTTTCTTCAGAGACAATGTAGGTTTGTTTTTGAGAAATTTGGCAACACTGAATGGATTTTACATTGTTGAATACACATCTTTCTTCTCATGGTATATTACAGAGTTCCCTGAAAATAGAGAACATAATGCAAGTTAGTGATAATCTTTGCTGAGCTTGTGTGTGTGTGTGTGTGTGTGTGTGTGTGTGTGTGTGAGTGAGAGAGAGAGAGAGAGAGAGAGAGAAGAGAGAGAGACTATGAAATTCTCAAAGAATTAAACACTTAAAAAACATTTAAAAATAGAATTTATAATTTTCCATCCTCTAATTCTTTCCTTTAAAATAGTTTCTTAAAATATTACATTAGTATATAGGACTTTATTGTCATAAAGTTTAAAATGTGAAAGAAGCCAGGCTCAGCAACACGCCAGCAATCCCAGTGGCTTGGGAGGCTGAGATAGAAGGATCATGAGTTTAAAGCTAACCTCAGCAAAATTGAGACACTAGGCAACTCAGTGAGACCCTGTCTCTAAATAAAATACAAAATAGGGCTGTGGATGTGGCTCAGTGGTAGAGTGCCCCTTAGTTCAATCCCTGGTATCCCCTGCCAAATGTGAAGAGAATATAAAAAGTAAAATCAGAGTGACATAATTCTCAAAGTAGATTCAAATCTTAGACATCACATGCCTCATATTTGTTTTTAGTTACTGAATAGTTTATTCCTTGGATAAACATAAAAATCTCTAGATGTATACAAAACTTTTAGAAATAACTTTTTCAGAAAAATGATTGTGATAATTTTTACATGACCTCACAAAAATAGTTAAGTATGCTCTGTTTATATTTATTTAGGTATTGACATTAAATATGAAAAGAAAATGTAACAAAAAATATTACAACCACTAAGAATACATCAGTGTATTGAAACATACTACATATGTTTTGATTAATAAATTTAAAATAATTCTGAAAAAAATGAACTTATCCTTCATCTTGGGAGAATTCTAAGGAATTGATTCTCTTGAAGGCCAATATATGTTTAAATAAAGGAAAAGAAAATGGACAAGAACACTCATTCTTCCTGCCTTTTCCATATAAACAATCTCTCAGGATAACCCAATAATTCATGTGAAAAACTTTATGTTTATAGAACTCTTCTAAAAAAATCAATGAGTAAGGAACGATAATATCTCCACATTGCAAGTCTTAATGAAGTGATGAATCAAGGCCATGATTATCAGTGGTGGTTGGCATCATAAAAGGCAACCAAGCAGACATTACACCTTCATGATGGAAGCAGGCAACATCATCTATGAAACAGTCTTAATCCAAACAATTTGAATCAGGTCTCTAGTTTTAAATATGCAGGGAACTCAAGGGGCAGAGGAACACAGAGTTAAACAGACCCATTATGGGAACTGCAATTGAGATGTTCCTACTGGTGTTGGCCTCTGAGAACATACACTTTGCCTTACTAAATAAAAAGTTGTCTGCAAGCATTTACTTGGCTCAAAGGGACTGATACCAATGCATGGTTTGTTGGCCTGCTTAGAATGTATCATTTTTCTCTTTCCATTCCTTTCTCTATCTCTTCCCTTGGCTTCACCCTTTAATTAAGATCTAGTACTTGTTTACATAAGGCTGAATCCTTAACACCCGAGTCCAGAGTATGTTTTGCTGTTTAAAGTAACATATTACCATATAGTGTCCTGAAAAATCATAATCCTTTCTGAATTATCATACAAATATGATAATTGTATGATAATATCATACAAATATGATCCTGAAGCACGAATCAAATATGGGCAAAAATAT